GGAAAGGAAGGCTGTTGCATTTGTAATGAGCTGTGATATAATATCATTTAGTTTAGAAATACGACGGCTATAGATGAATAAAAGGAAAACAATAACAATAATCGAAGTTTGTAATTCAACCCAAAAAACTGAATATTAATAGTTCTCGAGCAATTTTACGAGGATTCGGATGTCGCAATAACGAAGAATTCTGCATACACGGTTGTCGAAGGAGCTTTCATTGTACTGTTCAGGAACAGATACGGACGAGGTAGATCAAATGGGCATGCAGAAAGCAAAGCATTTGTAAAAAGCTTCAAACAGATGATGGGCATGGAAATATCCGGAAGAAAAGTCAAATCATCTATATGCTGAAGGATAAGAAAGGAACATGAATATGAGACGTATTGATCATTGGTTACAACATCCTCTAAACGTTCAGACCAGGGGCTTTTTCGTTCCGAAGTTACGATTGATGTAGCGAAAGAGGAATGGATCGAGTAAGCCGAAAAATCACTGTGATTCGATCCGGTGGTTTTTGCAGAGACGCTGCAATTATTAAAACTTAAGATGACTGTAATTGAGGGCATGGATGCGGAACTACAAGTATTTTGTGAATGCCATAATGATTGCTGTTCGAATTTCAACATCAAGTCTTACAGCAAAGTCAATAAGAAGCCAGTGCTTCGGCCTTTCAACAAGGCAGCTAACTGCTTCAAGAGCCCACCTAAAGCCGAAACGTATAATTGATGACGTGGGCAGTGCGTTTTGCAAAGAGATGTAGAGCAAGTATTAAGAAGACTACGAAAGTTACAGGGGAGTTAGCATAAGAGCGGCTATAGAGCTGAACAAAGCCAGCAAGCGGTGGAATCGGATATTCTCCTAGAACAACGGATTGCGAGTGCGGTGAAAGATGAACAACGAGCTAGCGCTATCAGTTAATTACCGTTCGATAAATTCGATCTACCAGAGTTCTACTAGAACCTTTACTCTTCCAAAGTAGGCACGAATAGCAAGTGCCAACACGTTGTCCCAGAAATAGTTCGCCGGGTCACCTGAAACCAGGTTCAATGGAGGATTATAAAACGCTAAACATGGCGAATGTTTAAATAAATCCGATACAAGTCTAGAATACCCCAGTGTGTGAGCAACAACCTTGTTTAAAGCGTTTCTTAAAAGCGTTATGGAATACATGAGGCGGAACAAGACTTCGAAAATGTGGAAGATGTTATGAAGGAGTTTTCTCATGCACAAGGACGACCGGGAGCCATTAAAGCCTCAGTGACTATCAGGCACTTATTCTCCTGTCGCAAGTTTACAGTCTTCACCAACATTACTGTCTACCTTGTTTGGAAGGTCGTCGAACTAATCAGAAGTTCAGAGCAGGCAAGTTTTCGTACATGATTTTTTTACATCTATCATGCACATGTCATGCAGCAGCTGATGAAGAAGTGTAACGGTTCTCAGGTACCATTCTATTTTCATTTCATAAACTAGACGAAAGCGTTTAATTCGACGAAATGAAAGACTCTGTCTGTTATATGCCCCTGTCATGAGCTTGGTGCAATAACTATTTACATGAAACTGATAGAAGAATATAACTCCGATTGCCCCACAGACATCAAGCTGTCCAACGAACCATATAGCATTAGTATCTACCGAAAAGTGTGCCAGACAGGTACCATCGCAGTGGTGTT